CTTAAACATTCAAAATTTCAAAATTTTATTTTTTACGCGCAATTATACAATAAGCGTTAAATTTTTAATTTTATTGTAATTTATCTTCAAGCTGTGATGTTAATAATTTGTAATCATAAGCCTTTGTTTATTATTATTGTTATTTAATAAAATACAATTGTTGCATTAAAACTATTTTTAAAAAATCGCATTTTAATTATTGCGCGTCTTGAACATTGAATTTATTATGTTAAATCTTTAAAATTAATATAAAAGTAACAAAATTATTTTTTCAACAATTTTTATGAGATGTATAGTGTTGTAAACACGATAGTTCAAACTCAGTAATTATTATGTAACCTTATTATTGGTTATTTAAATTCTTGAGGCGAGCCACGATTTGACCTGTTCTTCTTTATTATCTAGTAAATTAGGTTCTCCATATTATTAGCCTTGGAAAATTCAATTATGATAGTGAGTGTAAAGCAAAAAAAAAATTTTTTTCGATTTTCTAATATGTCGCTTTATTGGATTTTTATTATACTATATAATTCATCCCTTTATTTATACATTATTTTTGAAAAATTTCGCTAAAATTATAGTTAAAAGTGTAATGCATTTATTAATGCCCATTAACGTGATTTACAGTAGCCAAAATTTAGAATTTCTCTTTTACGTATTATTACGAATATAAGCATTTGTTTTTTTAGAGACTAATCTGCTAAGGTTCTGTATGATTGATTGTTGATTGTAATTTAAACTATGATGGAATTACCAGGCACGATATCTTTAAATTAACACATTATCATTGGTTACCAAAGTTTTAATTGGAAACGTAAAGATGAGCTTGAATTACAAAAGAAAGTCTGAATATTTCTGCTTATTGTGAGGTGCATTGTGTGTGTAGTGTTTCGATAGAGAGATAAAAAGGTGACTTAAGACAATACGACGTAAAAAAATATAATATTATGGGAAAAAAATAAAAAACGACGGGTTTTTTTATTAGAATAAAGTCAAGCCCGTGAAAACTATAAAGCTCTTAGCTCTTGAGTCTGTATCAAAAGCGTAATTAGTAATATAACTAGAGATTATCTAGAATATAAAAGCTTCTAGGGGTTCAAGAGAATTATCGGAAGGCTAGAAGTCAGCAAGTATTGAACGCTGGCAGATTAAAACAACCTCAGAAGCCAGGGCGTGCGAAACTCAAGAATCATCTCGAGTCAATTACAGGCTTCCCGGTTACGACTACTGATCTATACAAAGTATTTTAGCTTGGCTAACATTATTCATATTTAATAAAAAAGTTGATAGAAACTTTGATTTTATAAAATATTCAAGAAACCTTACTTTATAAAATTATTTAAATTTGATTATACTGTATTATACAGTAATAAAGTCAAATCACGCGTGATGGAATCATCAGGCTATTTCTTAATGCCTTTTGTTTTTGTTAAAAAAACATTGTCCTAATACAGCAAGTAGATTTTATCATGATTGAATGAATGAATATACTGTATAAAAGTAGATAATGATATGGCAACTCCTTTAGTTTCAAGTCTAGTACAATTCTTATTATCTGATAATATTTTAACATTGTGTACAATGTGCACAACATATTTATTACACAATAATAAATACGAGAAAAATATTCGATATTATTACCTTATAACCTTATTACCGAACCAATTTATTATAAATATAGTCTCTCTTATCTTCTTCTCGTCAAAAAATAAAACATAACAAACGTAAACGAACAAAATATCGTAAACTTTCGAAGCTTATACTCAATCTAATCAGTCCACAATATAAAAATGAATCCCACGATCATCTCAACTTTCGCTGCTACTACTACTACTGGTGTTACCAAAAAAACCTGATGATGGGGACCCAAATAACCAATGTTCAATTATGCACTCCTCCATCACAGTACTGTACGACGGTGGTGATCCAACAAACCAATGTTCAATCATGTAAAAACCTGCTATTCATTTGCGCACTCCGGTTTTATTTTACCGAAGCTATTTGTTCCTGGGATTCAATCAAATTTATTTATTATTTATTTATTGTAAAAATTCAAAATCAAGTAATGTGTAACGTTATAGTTTAATACTTTAAAATAATATTACTGTATAACAAAATACATCCTCGGGCAGGATATAAATTATATGTAAATGTAATTTTCAGAATAATATAATGAGCTAATAAATGTAGTATATCAAAACCAATTTTAATTTCATTTAATGATATCGAGAGACATAAAAGTAATGATCATTTGCATTTTAGTTTTTAAGTTATGCCTGAACTAATTTTATTCGTGGCGAACCGACCGGACCTAAATCAATTGCTTTCTTTTAATTTGCACGTGCGTATTTATAGGTGCTTGTATAATTTTCTGGTTACAGATGCAAGTACACGCATTATTTACAAAACTCGATTTCGATTGCATTTAAAATATTATTTAGCATATTATTAATATATAGTACATCAAATTAAAATCTTTATAATATACATGTATTTTTATTTAATTTAATGTTTCAAAATTCATAAAAACTATTATATATATTTTTAGCTTACTAATTTCTAAAAAGAAAGAAAGAAAGAAAGTTGTTTTATTAACAACGAGAATAACGTATTTAACACGTTTCTGTTTGTTATTTAACAAAAGATTATTGTATTCGATATATGAAAATTTATTGATCATTACAATGTAATTTTCTTATTTTTATACCTTAATATACACGTGTATGCATATGTACATGCAGAGTTTTTGTATACTGTAATTTGAACAATTTTTTTGATAATTTATTAATTAGAATTTAATTTTATAAAATTTTTTAAATTTTAGGATACTCCGTATATCTGATGTAAGATAAAAATTATTGTTTGAATTCAAGTTTTATTCAAAATATTATTTTTAAAAAAACATAAATAATTGCCGATAATTGGTACTAGCAATTTATAATTCAAACATAGATATATTATGTCTGTTTAACTTTATAAGATAAAAACATTTAAAATTAAAATTGATAAAATATAATATCGATACGTACTGTATATTTGCTATTGTCGCTAAGAAAAAAATAATTGCGCAAATCTCGTCCATAGAATATTGAAAAAAATGTGAAGAATGTGCCTAATTAGAAATTTTAGGCTATTTAGGATATTTGGTAGCATATATAGAAAGAATATCAGTTCTTTAACTAAAGGCATTTTTCTGCAATGTTTAAATGAACTTTATACCGTACTTTGTCTTTTTTTTCACAATCGTCATCATGTGACAGTTATCTGACCAAACTGACGCCAAAAATCAGCCGATAAGTGAGATACTTACCTGCGGTGTTACCGTATCGTTTTGGGAGTGACGCCGTAATGCCCACAACACCGTCAATATTATGTTTACGGTATAAAGTAAGATTTTTTTAATAATAAAATTTAAATTATTGTTGTTATTTAATTATAATTAATAATTTTAATAAATTATTCCATTTTTGCGATCAATAAAAATTGCTAATACGAACAAAGCATGTACTGCGTTTTCTTTATTAGACAAAATTATTTCTATATATTTGCGTTGCTTATTATTACTAAAAAAAATTTTATAAGTTTTTATAAAAGCTTTTGAATCTTAATATAAATGTGTGTTGAATGCATATGTATTATTGTTACGGGGAAGGATGACGATTTCCGCCATGTAACAGATCGTCGTGAAAGAGGCGTAAAGGACAAACCTGTTCGTGTCATGTCTAACAAAGGAAAATGAGATGAGGCTTTGTGGAGATTATGAGATGATGTATAGCTCTATCAGTATTATTACTCTCTTATTTTTATTTTTATCTTTTGGCTACGATGTCTAGCAAAAAATATGCTTAAAATTCGAGTTGATAAGAGACGTCAGTCAAAATAAATACCGTGTTAACGATCTCATTGTTTCTACTGCATTCACCGATCGCCCGTTACAATATTTTTTCAAAAAAATTAGAAATTAAATATTTACTATTTGTTGACCAAACAGAAATTCCCCATATACATTGACATATAGGGTATTAATTGACATGTACTCCAACTATAAAATCAAATAGATCTACAAACGACTTTCGTTATGCATATGTATCTTACGGGTTACTTTATTACAAAGTGTGGAAGGAATATTTATACCGAAGATATCAAAATGAAATCTTAATATTTTCTTTGATAAGGGTCAATGACCTAATGATAAATTTTTTTCTCCTTATCCGCAGACATCTTTTCAGATTTATGATTTACGGATCTAAATTTCCGAATTTTAGGGAAATTTCAGTTATCCCTTTTTTGTATGTTTTGAATAAAGGCAATAAACATTCTTTCATTATTCTATACTTACAACGTGCTTCCACTATATTCCTAAATTCAATCATCATTACTGGGGAGAAGGATATTTTGCTAAAAGAAAAACGGAAAAAAGAATAAATGCAAAATACGTAATATGCATATAAGTTAGTAATATTACATGTGGCCTGTATTCTTCCACGATTAGTAATAAATATAATGCGAAAAAAAAAATGCAACGTTGAACTCCTAATCTATACGATATTTTTAAATTGGACCAAAATTGGAAAGCAACATTGGCGTTAACTGACTTATTGGGATTCTTCATTACAAAATTTTTATTATCTCGAATATTTATTTAAGGAATACATCAAAGATTTCAGTCTAGTAGTGACAAATTATATCACTTGTCGGGGGCGGGCACACTTTCTACGTTCCGAATAGTGTCACGAAAAAAATGATTTCCACGAATATAATCTCGGATTTCATTGATTAATCGTATAATCAGTTTTTTTCGCGTCCATCGGACTTTGTCGAAGATTATTCCATCCCTTAAAAACATGAAATTCACCAATAAAATTTCTCGTGGAACATTATACTCTTTCGAATGTAAAAAGGAAACGAGATGATGAAAAAAAGTTATATAAAGGAACATTTTCTTTTCCTCAGGTTTGTCATCATTGCTCCTCTGGCCAAACATCTACGACGCTGCCATCATGAATACGCAATCTTACGATCAAATTTATTTCAAGTGTTTGGCTATCGTAAACCAAAATGAAGAAGAAATTTCATTTTGGGGTAACGAAACATCTGCCTCATATTTCTTGCATTACTCTCACTACAGTTGCTATGCAGTTGGTGAATTTGAAATACCAACAGCTGATAGCGCCATGTCCCGCGATAATGAAATTACCCTACATCTTTCTAAAGAAGACCTAAAGAAGTATGACGCTACTTTAAAGAGGAGGCCAGCTACAGGGTTTATCTTATTTCGCCGACAGATAAGCCGCATTTTTCGAAGTTGGAATTTATCTTATAGCTGGGAACGAGTTAGTTATATCTCGGCGTGCTTATGGGATATGCTCGTAGCATGCAAGGCTGAACTGATTAACATCATAAAACGCGTTTATGACGCGGCTTTGTGGACTCATAATATCAATATGCCGTTTGCTTTGTATGATCCTAACGCCAAAAAAGAGAAGAAAAGACAAAGAGGACCCAAAACTAATGACACGAAAAGGAAGCGTGCACCGGCACATCGTCCTTGCGTTGCAAATTCCAGCGAACAACTCGTTTATAACAACGTTCCCATTCCGTGGAATTTAATCGAGGTTCCGCCTACCTTTTTCTCCGGATAAATTCACGGAATAATTTTTTTAAAATATGCTTAAGAAAACAATAAGCTTCACGTTGGTTATTTAAGCCTATACACGTTCGCTCTAAATTATGATTTCTCTAAATTATGATTTCTCTGGATTATTTTCTCTGAATAATAAATAAAATATGATAAATTATATAAGCATATCAAGAATTGTTATAAGTATTAATTTTAAAGTGAAAATATAAATGCGATGAATCTATGCATGCCACATTTTTGCATTAACTTGACCCGAAGTGCATATGCGTAATTAAGTGAGTTAAATGTTAGCTTGGATATATTAATCAATTGATTAATAAGGAAAAAAAATTTTAAACAATGTAATCAACTAAATGATATTGAGAGCTATTATTCTTTCTCATATTTTATTTAGTATATGAAGAAACACAACTGGAATAGCGCTGTTAAATCTACTACAGGTAATTACTCTCGATTACCATAATCGCCACTACCTACTGCTAGTTACCTATCGCCTGTCTCTCCTATCCGTCTCCGATATTCATGATCGTAGATCCTTACTTTCTTACCACAGTAACATCCATATTTTCTTATTCCTGTTTTCCATTTACCTTCGGGTGTCTCATCGTATTTCTTATAGTGCCTTACCGAAGAAAACAAGAATACTGGGATGGGTTCATGCATTATGAAACCGCAGTATTTTGAATGTCGGAAAGCAGATCATTGTGCAGGGCCATGTCAGTCAATGAGTAGGTTTCCAAGCACTCCGCTCATTAATTACCTTTCTTTATCAAATCATCCAATAAAGCTTATATTTGGGAAGTTGGGGAGCACGTTGTCAACCAAGCCCTTACAAGTTGACAAGCAGGTCACTAAGCAATTCTCTTCGTTATACATTTTGAAATTTATTTCCCTTATATATTTATATATCTCTTGGGGTGGGCCCACACGAAAAGCCAGATGGAAATCGGCATCGAAGAAAACAAGCACCAATGACTTCATCACACATCATTTTCATAAATATCGGCATTTGTACCACAAAAGTCACATGTAATGTTATCTCCGTGATAATAGCCCTTTGCATGATAATCGTCGTGCTTAAAAGCAAGAGAAATTAGTTTTATTTAATTCTTGTAAATAGTAAGATGTTGACAGTATTGTATTTTGATTTTTAATCTAATTATAATATAAACTTAGAGATTTAAAAAAATGTTTTGATTTATCTATTGATGTTAGAGATGAAAAAAATAATATGTCACCGAAAAGTTCAGTTGCCTGCCAAATGTTAAACACAAATTTTTAATTTTTATCAAGGTTTAGAATAAAATCGATAATATCCATTGTTTAAATATATATTATTTTTAAAGTAGTGACTGTATTCGGAACAGTAGATATTTGAATACTAATTGATAGATACATTTATAAATGAAGGGTATTCCGGAATTTTTTATTTTAAATATGCCATTGTATTTATTACTGTGGTGATTTTTAATAAAATTATTGGTAATATCGATGATTTTAAACCAATAATATATCAAAAATAATTTAATGGTTGTGGCTATCAGAATTAATATTATTAATAATGAAAAAAAAAATTTGAAAAATATTTAAATCGGAATAAATGGGTCTGGTTATGTCTTGGTTTAATTTTGAATTTGGAAAAGCTGTTGATTATGGATTTTTGTGTAGCAAAAAAAATTGGGTTTTGAATTTTGAAGCAATATATTAACTTTTATTATTTCTTAAAAAGTTTATAAAAATATTTATGAATTATTTAATATTTTGAATTTTTAATAAATATATTGTTTGATATTATTTATAACATTTAATAAGTTGTCAATCAGAAAATTAAATTTTAATAATAAAATTTAATTATTATTATAATAATAATAATAAATTTAAAAAAAATTAATTGAAAAAGGCAATTAGTAAAACAAACTTGCAATTTAAAATCTTTAAATATTTTAACGATATAAAGAATTTAAATATTTTAATTAAATATTTTCAAATTTCAACTTACATAAAATCAAATGGTTTTGTTTTTTAAATAAATTTAATGTTTTAAATAACCCAATTTCAATTTAAAAATAGCTAATAAAATAACCAATTATTGGTTAATATTCTATAATTCTTTACTATTTTAAAAAATTTTCGTAAAAACTTTTTTTGCTTATTTTTTTATCAAATCAATATATATTTATATATTTAAAAATTTTTTTGTTTTATGATTTAAGTAGTTACTTTTTTAACAATGTCTATTTTTTAATCAGAAAAAAACAATTATTATTGTTTTTTTTTTCTTTTTTTAAAAATACTTTGATAAAAAGAAACCAGATAAAATATAACAAATCTAAAATAAATAAATAAATAAATTTTTAATTCCTGTATTTTTTTTTTTTTTGATCTTTTATTATTATTTTTCAGGTATTTTTTTTTTCAATTTTTTTTTTCAATTTTTATAAATTTAATTTAACATTTATTTTGAATTGCATTCTTCTTTAAAAACAATCGATTGAAACTACAAGTTAATTTATTATATTAATAAAGCATGTAGAGGATGTATAAATGATAGAAGTGTTTAATATAAAATTAAAAATTATTTTACTTAATATTATCTTTAGCAAATTTATGCGCAGTTACTTAAATTAATACTAATCAAAAGAAATCCATTGGCGAAAAAAAAAAAAAAAGAATAGTTAATATAATAAACCGATAATCAAATTTCTATCATTACATTCACTTTGTTTCGATAATATATGATTTCTTTGTGTGGTTATACGATGTTTAAAGAAAGAAAAGTTGGCTTTGAAAATTTTTTAATCAAGTGATTCGTAAATATTACTATATTTTGTAAACCAAAACATTCTATGAGGAACATCTAATTTAAGATAAATTTAGAATGTGATTATCATCAAGGTAGAAAATGGGTTTCTATTTTCGTCAAAAGGCATTGTCCGCATTAGGCATTAAGATCCTATCAAGCATAGATGAATAGATATTCGACAATGTTATGCTTCAATTTTACCATAACATTCGTCAATATGATAACGTCTTAATATTATGTGTAATATTATTATAATATCAGCACGATAATAGTATTATGTTTATATCGAATAATAATAGGATAATAGGTTTAAGTTTATTTTTGTGAATCGATTTATTATAAATACAACTTCGCGGGTCTTATCTTTATCAAATAAAAATTTTACAAACGAGAAACCAATTCGAATACCTTCTAAACTCGCAAAGTCTTAAAAATACTTTTGATTAACTCGATATATAATATAAAAATGAATCCAACTATCATCTCAACCTCTGCTACTACTACCGGAGTTACCGAAAAGCCCGACGGCGGCGACCCGACTAACCAATGCTCGATTATGCACTCTTCTATCAAAGTACTTGGGGTTACCGAAAAACCTGACGGCGGAGATCCCACAAACCAATGCTCGATCATGTAAATTCTTAACGAAATTAAAGAAACTCGGATTTACTTTGCCATTTGTATTTTAGCTTCTTTCAAAGTATTTAAAATTTATTAATTTTTGAAAATTTTGCAATTTATTTCCTCATAAATTGTATAAAATGGTTAAACATAACATTTTTACTTTAATTCAATGTATTCGGTTAATCCTTTAAAAATTCTACCCTTAATTTTCTTCAAAATTTTTGTTATTTAAAACGTATTAATATAGTGCAATTGTAAAATTTACTGCATTTACGTTTTCTGTTAAATCAATCTTAATTTTGTACTGTATTCGCGTAAACAATCTAATAAAGTTGTTGGCAAATTGCATACGCTTTTAAAAATCACGTGGTTATAAAAAATAAATATGCCTCAATGTTTAATAATATTACAGCAGGTGGTAATAAATGAATTAAACTAAAGTCCATCGTGCTTTTAAGTACTTTATAAATGCATCAGATATAGGTGTGGATTCAAGTTTTCAAAGTAAATATCACAATTCATTAGAATATTAATGTTTTGTGTCTAATTAATGCTCATAAAATAAAATATAGTTGCTATTAATAATATCAGAGATGGTTATACGACACAGTATTGCTTCGCGTAATTGTTACGTGCCCAAGGGAATATTACGGCTGAATATCGGTAATAAAGGGTAATGCAAGCAAACGTGTTGAGAAGCCATGTAATTATAAAAGTAAGGAAGTAATCAAATCTTTAATCAAGAACAGTACTTACATCTTGAATTGAAATAGAAAACCAAAGTCTTAGGCTGGAAGTAAAAAATATTAGCGGTACAGAAGGGTTATAGGATAGTCCAAGGAAGAAAGATCAGCAAGTGCAGGACAGGCCAAATCGGAACGCATCTTAGAAATTAAATTTTTACCTTACTAAGTAAAATAAACCAAGTTTTCAGACTATTGTCAGATCATAGACTCGCTGGTGACGACAACAATATTATTCTTTGAACAAAGAAACTTTGATTTTAATTATCTCAATGAAGAAATCTGACTAATAGTATTTAAAATAATTATTCTCATACTATATGTTAACGTATTGAGGCAATCATACGAACTGGTACGTAATAGGCATTAATGGTTAATACTATTCATAGACAATATTATCCCATAATATTATGTGACGAAATAATAGCTTTTTTATATCACTCATAATCATTTCGACAACATTAGAATCGCACAGTGTAAACAATCAATTCTCAGGAATAATATTAATTAACTGTCATTTGATAGTCTTATCATTAAAACAAATCTAAAGTATTTCTTAACACTCAAAGTTTAAGATTACATTTAATCTTCTCGATATACGTATCACACAAAAATGAATCCAACTATCATTTCAACCTCTGTTACTACTACCGGAGTTACTGAAAAGCCTGACGGTGGAGACCCAACTAACCAATGCTCGATTATGCACTCCTCTATTTCGGTACTGAAAATGATCCAACGAATCAATGCTCAATTATGTAAATTGTCACACAAAATACTGTACTGTAAAATGAAAACCCGCGACAGATTCAACTGATCTATGTTATATTG